TAAGATGAATTTAATGAATTTTTAGTGATATAATTTTTGGGTGATTTTCAATTGTATCTTTGGATTTCACGTATAAAGTATTCCATGTTTATTGAGATCTGTTTGCGATGGAATATATGGATGATATGTCGAATAATTTGAAGTTTAGGGTGATCATTGAATGTAATTTTATTCAATTGTGATACAGTATCTTTAGGTTACATTACCCCAATTAAAGGTCTTTATGCGATATACAAGAAGGATTATGCATTGATAGTAGACCAACGACCCATTTATGGAATAAGAATATAAATTTTCATGATTAAATATTATTATTTTCTCTTCATAGAAAGAAAGAACAAAATTTATATGGGTATAGAAATGTCAAAAGTTTTGCTATTAAGAAATTCTGAGGAAATATTTGCTCTTATATCTAAAGATGATAAGTGATTGATTCACAATAATGATTTATGTTAAGGTTTAGAAAGTATTCTGAAGTAAACTTATAAATTATAGATGATACTTTAGATTGTTGAAGAGTCATAATTAAAACATGATTTGGAGTTGGTTATGTCGGGATTTTGTCATCACATTGCGAGAAATATCAATATTTATCAATCATCAGACTTTAAGGTATATTTTATTCGAAATGGTGGAAATGAAAATTGTGTATATATTATCATTTGGTGATATAGAATTAAAGGAAAAGAACACCATATTGAACTATTTTAATTGTTTTGTTGGGGATAACTAGAATTTTAGAAAATCATGAACAATTGAATTTTTGGAGATATTGTCAATTTAGAATGGAGGTAGTTACCATTAAAGTATTTTTTTTTTTTTTGGGATTCCAAATACACGGAATGGAGACAAAATAGTATCTAAATCCTTGTGGATAGATTGATAAAGGTTACAAGATTCTTTTTAAATGATATAGTCAGTTCAGAGGATAGACTTACAAAATTATATTTAGACGACATTGTTAATTACATGGTGGAATTGGAGTATTTATCTTTGGTTAGTTATAAGAAGTTATATAATTAAATTTCACTATGCAATTTCTTTTGATAGAATATCAGATATTATGAAGATAAGTTTAAAAGAGAGACTATCAACTAGTTTGTTAATTAAAGTGGACTCTGATGATTATCTATTATTCATGGAATTGACCTATAAGAACTAGACACAAATGACGATAATTGAGGTTATATATGATATTGAAATATTCTAAAGACATATTTATTGTGATGAAATTGGTGAAAGAATGCTATTCGATTTTAGTACGTAACCATTGTTATGGAAAAAAAATGAGAATACCATATATTGGCTCTTAGGAAGTTATTAAAACTATGATGGGAAAGATTAAATTTTGGTACTAAATGTTTGTTGGAGAAATCATTCAATAAAAGAGGCATCATGGGTAGCGAACGTTAAATGTGAGTTTTATATCCTTTCGTGTTGGACCTCTAGCTAATTGAATTTCGAGGACGAAATTCTTTTAAAGGGGTGAGTTTTGTAATACCTTAATTTGGTTATAAAAAAAAAAATAGAAGAAGAAGAAAAGTCAAACATGTCATACAAAAAAAAAAAGAATAAAAAACAAAAAAGAGAGAGAGAGAGAGGCGGCCACCCATGTTTAAAATCTATTCATTTTGTCCCACAAACACACACACAACACACACTAATAGAAAATGAGAGCAGGGAGAAAAATGAAGGAAAAAGTGGAAGAAAAGGAAAGGAAGGAAAAAAAATAGGAAAGTTCGCCTATGTTGTTAAAAAATAAGCGGTCTACATTATTAGGCTTGAATTCCTCAATTTTGAAAGGTAAGTAAAAAGTTACTTATTGTCAAATTATGTTTGATTTTATAGTTGTTAGATTGTTAGATTAAACTCAGTTTTATTGAAGGGGTTAAGTATAATAAACTATAAAATTGATTAAGATGAAAGAAAAACTAGTTTTAGTGATTAAAAAGACTATGAAAATCATTTAAACGTGAAATAATTTCTATTTAATTATTGAAATTATTTAAAATAATTAATTCTTTATTTAAAAATTATATCGTATTTCAGGCGACGACACTGATATCAGATCAGCTTATCAACTGGGTTAATTTTGCGAACATAGTACTGTGAGTGAAAAAATATAAATATTTTTAAAGTATTTATTGTTAAAGTATGTGCAATTATATGCAATTATGTGTTCGAATTACATGATTTTTATGAAAATATCTTTTATTATGATACATGTGGGATTTCAAAGATTGTATACGTTACATTGTGAATTGGAATATGAGATATGATTTTAAGATCGACCAGAAAAGTACCCGTGATTATATATTTCTTCTAGTTCACTGAGAGACCTTGGCCGTGTTCTATACTACACTGAGGGGTCATGAACTGGGGATGAAGGGGTCTTGACCGTGTACATATAGTTCACTGAGGGGCCTTGACCGTATTCTAGAATTGATTTTGAGAGGTCTTTAAGACCGACTTTCGTTCACAGAGGGGCCAAAGGCCCGTGGCGAAAGTTCTTAGCCTGAGGGGCGGATTACATATTTCAGTCAAAGGGTACATTTTTGTTGGATTTTTCAGCACGTTTGATGTGATGAGATTATAGCATGGTTATCAACTAGTGTTTATATCATGATTTTGAGATGATATTTTACGACCTTATGTGAATATTTCACTTTTGGTTATAATTACATGATTTTATCTTGTAAATTATTAAATGATATGAACTCGATTTTCGATAAAAAATAAAACAATATAATTAATTTCGAAATTCTCCACTCACTGAACTATCAACTCATATATTTTCCCAAAATTTCTATACAGGTGGAAATTGATTCTTTTTAACTGGAAGAGCCTAATGATTTCGGAATGAGAGCCACACGACACGTTGAATATTATAACTCATATTGATGAACCATGAAGTAAATATTTTGGGCCCATCGCATTTTGTTTTACATAAGCATTTGATTTTGTTGTATTTTTGAAATAACTCATAGTCAGCCTTAGTGATAGATTTGACATCTAGTCAGCATCTATCATCGGCGCACGTCACGTTTCGGGTCCACTAGGGTGATTCGGTACGGGTCGTGTCACTATCACCGACCAACACTACATTCCACAACCATGTCATGAATTTTAATATCTGCCGAACTATTAGCTGCAACCTGAGATGAAGTTGGTGCATTAAAAACTCTTTGATCAAGCGTGAATCACTTAGTGTTGCAATTTTCTGGTTCATAAAAATCTGGAATTTACTTTGATGCCTAAAAAAAATTGCATAGGGATTAACTTTCATAATGTATATTAACTTTTGAACAACAGGTTCATTCACCTTTCAGAAATACATAAACGATTCAGTAATTCGTGTTAAAAACTGTATAGCTGTAAATACGAAGGGCATTCATTATAGAGAAATATTTCATTTTTGTAATGATATACAAAGTTCTTTATCATGATTTACACCGAACTCCGAAGGATGTGAATGTGAAATCACTCTTCAAAGTTGACAGCATTTTTCTAAGACTAAAGATTAGTACGAAATTGAGGGGAAATTTTCGCAGTCATCAGGTACAGTAATTTAATCTAAAAGTCTCCTTCACTTGTTCGTTTCTTTAGAAATTCTATAGCTCTACAATAACGATGTAGTTGTTCTAGTCCAGGTATGTCGAATATTTTGTTCAACATAACGAACACTTGGGAACTTTCAAGATATACAAATGCATAACTCGAAGACAAACATTACATGTTAGTTTTAATTAGAAATTCTAATTTATTTATTTTTTATCTCAAAAGCCATGTACATATAAAGAGCTAGGATTTAACTTCCATACAATGCATTAATCCCAGCAAGATCATCTGGGTGCAGATTTCTTTTGATCTGATTCTCGCCAATGGTAGGGTACATAATCGCATCTTTAATGCTTGAATGTCCGAGACCAAGAACATGCCCAATTTCGTGTACAGAAACGCTAACCATGTCGTGCATATGAGGACTGGCACCATTTGTCCAAGCCTCATCTGCGTCAAAATGAATTCGGCCATCCCCCGGAGAAAAAGCATGCGCAAGTGTACCGCCTGGTCCATCAAATGGATATCCATCGCCATGGTCACCCCAAAAAAAACCAATTCTAATATCTCCATGATATTCATAATCATAATCAATTTCGGAAAAGATGAAAGGTGTCTTGTTGGACCATATAACAAATGCCTGTTCAATATAATCCATACCTTCTGAAGGAAAATCATCTATAAATACATACATAAGGTTCGTTGTATTCCATTTGACAAAACGATCTCGGAAGAAGAAAGAGAACAGTGAATTATTAAAGGTTTTGGTGCCGCGTTTCATGGTATTGGAGCCTTTGATTATGTCGGGAACCCCACATCGTGGAACCATCATTTTGGACAAGGTATCGGAATCTAGAATTCCCGTAGTGTCCAGGTGGTAGTTGAGTTGGTAAGTAATGATCGCCGATTCCAACTCATCATCAAATTTATCATTGTTCAGATCAAGAGTATCGAGATAACCATATCGGTGAAGATACCTCTTGACTGGAAGTAGTCCGTGATCACCCTTGACATAACCCTCAAAGTGTTTGAGAGATTCGAAGTCAGAAGAGCTACACAGGGAGTGGCATAAAAATATGATGAAAAAGAAAGTGGGAAGTGCGACAGCTGCCATGAGTGATTATGTAGGAAAGTATTTTATCAGAATGTATTTGCTGGAGTGATGAATACATAGAGAAACTCCTGTATTTATAGTGTTATAATTGGTGGGGTGGTGGGGGGGGGGGGGGGTT